ATATTACAAACCGAAATAGCTTTTAAACCTGTATGCTCAAGTGCACAAGCTTTATTTAAGACCTAAATGGTCTTCAATTCAAGTTAAAGGCTTGTATTTCTCTAGTTTGCACCAACCGGTAATGAGTGCCAGCAGCGATATCTATTATTTACGGCGTCATTATATCCAAGGACAATCAGCCAACATTAGTTACCATGAAGAGACTATACAAGCTACTCCTTTCCACACCTTTTTATTTCAACACTCGTGTCATCCTACACAGTACCCATGCCAATGCTTCTAATCACGATTCAACGTGGCCTTTTTTCGGCGATACGACATATTTCATCATTATTGTCATGTATATGTCTATACGTTATCACAGTTTTATGCCTTAAAAATGGCGACTAGGATTTTTTCTATTATTTTTTGTTGCTAGCTATTTACAACTAGGCCTGACAGGAAAAATATTTTATTGGATTTGTGTCGCCGTCTGTTTATCGATATATCGTACAGCTCAGATGTTCGCCCACGAACTACTTGAGAGCATTGCTTCAATCGAACACTCAAGCAATTTCCCATTACAGTTTCTTCTTTGCGGATTGTTCAGCTGGCAGGAAATCACTATTGTTGCCGTTGGCTTGTCCTTTTCACTATACGATGACTATCCTCATAGTTATCCGTGCTGATTTGGTAGTTGTTCCATTGTGGCTGTTGGTTCTATCTAAATATTGCTACTCTATCGTTTTTGACTTTTCTTTTAGCTGCGCGAAGCGTTTGCTCTTGTTGCTGGGCTACTGCCTCTTTTAAGGCGGCCGTTACATCGGTTTGATTAAAGGTCTGGTCATCGAACCCGGACCCGGGACAGGTCAGATCCGTAGCGAAAGCGTAACGAACATTGTTTAGCCCCAAAAATGATTGGCGAAAATTTTTCGTTGTTTCCTCTCCGTTGAATTGCGGTTTTGCTTCTATCGAGTATAACTTGAAATTGTAAACAAGCCAAAAACAAGCTAGCGGTACAATTGGCTTCCGTATTGTTGTTGAGCTCACTTCATCCGTCAGTGTCCTGGTTGAGTAGTGGCAGCTACCGAGAAAGCTTCCTGCAGTTAGAAAAAATAGTCGGCCATGGCCGTATTGAACCCTATAATGGGTTAAAGCTCAATCTAATTAAAAATGTAAAGAGTATCTAACATCGAAATTAACAAATGGATTCGAAGACTAGACAACTACTTAATAAATGTTGGCCGAATTCCTCCTTCACTCGGTGAACGGCGATGATAATGGGCCTACAACGAAAGAAGCAAACTTTAATAAGAAAATGTATCGACTTTATTTAGATCGGTTTTTGTTCGATGTTCGTGCGTGCACTTTGCTGCCTGATTTGCTGAGTTGCCTGATTAATATTTGCAGCCACTGCAATGGGTTCGAAGGACAAGGAGTGCTGATGTAACTTTTTTACACTATCTATCTTAACATTCAACCGTAACAAAACCACACTAATCACGATCAGTGCATACACGTTTGCATTTTCAATGCTATCAGTGCTTATTATCTGGTTCTCGAACTAGCTGATTATCTCCCGCTCACATCATAGACATTTCCATCGAGATCAGAAGTTTAATCTCGTCTCATAGACACGTACCCACGCAATGTTACAGTACCTTATACTGAGATGTACCATCGACAATTCAGCCTTTAATTGTGCCCGGCAATTTTCGAAAAAGCCGTAACTTCGTCTTAACTTATACCTATTTTATGTGATTGATTATGTCTTTATCTTGTGCTTGACTATATCTTGATACCTCCCCTATGTTTCCATAATGCTGGATTAACACTGACAGAGATATGCGTGTGTCTACGCGCTGTTTATGTAAATTATGTTATATGTGATAAGCGTACTACGGTATCGATGGCATCCTTATCACCCTTGCCACTGATACTGCATCTATTACAGGGTCACTGCGTGATATCAACATTATCATTACTGCAGCCATTGTTGGCATTAACACTAATTTCGTGAATCACTGCAGTGTTTCCACCGCGCGACGGAACGTTGCAGAGATACTTGAATCTTCAAATCTTGTCTTCATTGCCATCTCTTCAAGTCATCACGCTACAGTTGTGATGCCATGATCAAGTAATTCTGCCAACACCTCTTCATATGTGTTCGCCCGCCGGGCTTGAACAGCTCGTAGGGGGAAAGGAGAACAAGATGCAACAGTAGCACAAATACTAACTGATCCATCTTATTAACCCTGAACGTAATGCCGGTGATGATCGAGGTGAGAAGGAACTTTTCCAGCTGTTTCTTATTATTTCTGATGTCTCATCTTCGGTTGGCGTCCACTGTTTAACTGGGGAACAGCTATTTTTGTAACAGGTATGGGTACGCGTGACTGCGTACCGGAATACTCTTCTTCTTTGGGTCCTTTCTTTGTGATCTTTCTTTCGTATAGGTAGGGCCGTACAGCAATCTGTTCTTCGGTCTATCCTTTGGTGGGATGGGTAAACAGGGAGCCAAGACGACCAACTGGGACCGTCAGGGTTGCCTACAGGTTTCCGAACAATACCGCAATACTGAGCTGTCGCAGAAGTAGCCCCGCCATTGTGGGCCTGGTCGAAAACCCACAACAAAAGGGACTCGTAATCCTGAATTCAGGAATTAGTTAATCGCTGGACACCCGACAACTGGCGGCCAATAGCACCTGATGCGAACCGTTTTTGTGGTGCTTCTTCTTGACATCGTTGCTGTCATAATTAGCATAAACGTTGCTTACAATGGCTGAGAGCCACTGAGAAGGCCGTCTCACGGATCTCGCGACGAGATGGTTTCGGACTGTCGTCACGAACGAAGCACAGTCATCGAATAACAGTCGCCGTTGTTGGAGTGGACGTCAGCGCAAAACACTGGGTTAATGACTGCTGGTAGTATTATTATTATAGTGACTATGATTGGGATTAGCGTACTACTCGTTGTTGTAGACACAGGCACACATATGAATGAAGATGCGTTGCATCTATCGTGTAGTAGAAATGATCAGCTTTCTCATATGGTCTTCTTATGCGGACCGTTGCTTTGCACCGAGCCACTTACCGAGCGCCAGTAATATTAGTGTGGGCCTAGCCGTGTATAAACGATCAGTCATTTCAACGTTTAGATGTGCGTCAATAGCATGTCAGGATTCGTGACATACTTTGCTATGAAACTCTTAAATAGCGTAGTCACAGTTAAAAAAAAAACTCACGGATACCAGTAAGGCGTATAAAGTTTATCCTTGCTATGACTGGCCTCTTATGTTCTATGTGGCAGGGTGACACCAAATTGACCATTTTAGTGTATATCTATGGCGTTTATAAAGTCCAGTTCGCTTTTACTCAAATAATTTCAGATTGGTTTCTCGATCGTGCGCGCTGAAATATTGAAAACTACCTATATAAGCAATAAGAAGAAAAGATAAATCTTACCCATTGCTTATCTATAAAGAGAGATATTGCATTGAATTTAATGAATGAAAGACGAAACAGTATTACGAAGCGCGAGCGCCATTACGCTGCTCATATTCACGACTGGTTATTGCAAAATTGCCAGCCAATCTCGTACGGCGGTGCTAGATTAGTGAACAAACATGTCGGACATGTGAGTGTCGAAGTTTTCTTTATTTTCGACTAACGAAGGCTCTCGATCGTCTTCAGTAAGGCTATAGAACTTCCCTCTTGCAGTTTTTTGTTCC